CATGTCCCACTTTCCATTTAGCTGACAAGCCTCTGATATAGCGAGCATGCCAACAGCTGCTAATGTCTGACATTAAAAGTAAAAATATAGGTTCGAGCCTGCAACCAGCTATGAAACACTTGCAAAGGTCGTTAAGACAAATCAAGTTGGCCCGAGGAGTCTTAGGTCAAACAAGGTCCAACAGGGAGACATTTATATGTGCTATTTATATGGTATGTGGTGCGTGCGCACGTGCATGTGTGCGTCCATGCATGTGTGTGTGTGTGTGTGTGTGTCTTTCACAGAGGTCAACTAAAGGGTTTTTCTGTTCATCTTAGTATAAAATTGATGTGATCCATTGATGTGACAGCTTATACAAGCTACAAAGACTCACAGGGAGAAGTCTCCTTGAACTGGTGAAGGACAACCATATACAACCATGTACATACACACACATTCCACTTATATTAGTTGTCAAAGTACATATATAATATCTGCAGAGCAGGGACATGATATGTTGTGGAGCTGAGGCTTCATACACTGGATGTAAGCAACAGACACTGAGACACACCTACACACCTAACCAAACAAAGCAGAACCTCCGATCTTTCAATAAAGGTTTCAGTACAACCAGTCATGAATCCAAGTGAGCAAAACCTATAGTGTGCAGTATATCCATATAAGTGCACATAAAAATAAATACATTCAAATGAACAAAGTGTGACAAAGTGTTGGGCATCTTTCCAATCCACTCACTGGAATAAAAGGGCTGATGCTCATCACTTTGTCTGTCTGTCTATCCTACTTTTTAACCATCCAGTCATTTTATTTATGTTATTTTACAGGGTTAGCCAAAACGCTAGTTTCCATCTGTAGTCTGTGGCCAGATTTTCAGAATAGGCTCCAGATGGATTCTGTTCACCAATGAGTGAACTCCAAGGTTTCTGCCTGTTAAAGGAAGGGTTTCCTTGCCAAAGTTTCCAAATTCTTGCTCATGAGTAACAGTTTATTGATTTATTAATTTACTTGTTATAATGATACAATTTGCTTGCTAACCTGATGCTCTCTCAAAATGGCATTACAATAATATGAGGGAAAGAAGTGTCAAAAAGCAGCAATAACAGAACCAGACAAAAACTCGGACCCAAAATGCAGAGGCAGAATTCAGGAAAAGCAGAGTTTTAATTAACAGTCCAGGAAAAGTGTATTGCTGAAGATTTAAAGGCTTTTAGTGATGAATTATGAGCAATTTCAACACTTTCATTATGTGTGAGTACCAGGCATGGCTGTACTGAAATTCTCTTAAAAGTGCGTTCGTGTGAAGACGTCTTCAGAAACACTTTACTTCCCGTTACAAATATCTTGCTATAGCAAGTTTGTTCATGTGAGCGATTTGACTTGAGTTCAGTTTGCCTCGGGAAATTTGGGACAAACCCTCTCTGAACCAAGCTTGAAAAATCATCTTTTAAGATTTTTGATGTTCCATACATAAATACAATCCATTAATTAAGTTATTTTTCAAAAAGTTGGTGCTTGAGCAGTTTTATCTAACGTATAAGATGGTTATAGTAATGTCAAAATGCAAGTATGAATGTATCACTGTGTGTTTTGCATATCTAAAGAAAATTAAATAACATTAATATCAAACTTGTTTGACGCATTGCTGAGGACCCAAGAGCGTCCAGTTTTGAGTGTGAAGTGGGTTGGATGAGGGGTTTTCATGAACACTTCAAGCAGGCAGCAGTATGTCGAGCCAGGTAACCAATGGATTTCAATTTCGATTCCATTCCAAAATGAACTGAAGTGCATTTGCCATGTTATCATTGACTGGGCAGAACTTACTACAGTCTACCCATTGATTATTTGAAAAGTGTGTCCATTTTATCTCCCATGTAAAAGTGAACTGATATTTCTGTCAAACAGCACTTTACAGAAGAGGTGAATAACTAAAGCCCTGTAATACAGTTGTCTGCTCAAAGAAATGTGGACCATTCTACAGCAGCGGCAGCATTCACCAAATGGATCGAAAACAAAGCCTTGCACAAAGGTTTCCTAAAAACACTATGCAGTTGAACAATTTCCCCTTAAAAGTGGAAAAACCTGATATTTAATCCTGAATAACCAGAGAGATGAAAAATAACTGAATTGCAGAGACTGGAATGGAAACATTTGATCATTCCTTGGAGGAGATTGCGCACTCTAATGAAAATACAATTAGGCCCTTAGAGGCTGTCTGCTGCCTCAACACAACAGATTAGTGACTAGAGCCAAACATAGAAATGTTTCTTCTGGTTTATATTTGTCTGAGGGAGACTATTTCCTCCCCGTTTTCTTTTGCTTCTCCAAGGTTGTTTTCATGGCACCAAAAGAGACAAGATTGCATAGTAACATGCATATCCCACATAGTTCTTCTTCAAGAGACTGCTCCGATGTGGAGGGTAACTAAGACAAAATTACATTGTTGATTTGGCCTGAATGCACTTTGGTAATGCCTACTCACTATCAGATGATCAATTAATGAAGTTGTATTTGTATGATGTTAATTCATTACAGATGTTCTCTCAAGAAACATTAGAAAATAGCAGGAGACCGTACTCAAACAAGTGAAAGAATAGAGAGAGAGAGAGAGAGAGAGAGAGAGAAACTTGAGTCATTTATTTGGCTTTGAGAAGGAAGTGGACTGCTGAAAGGGTATGTTAGAGGAAGGGGTTTGAGGAGTCTTATTCAATGATGTCTTTCTGGCCAGACCCAACAAAGGCCTCAAAATCTTTTGACACCGATGAAATGATAAACACTGAAGTGATTTAAGGCTGCGCTGAAGTGACAAGTGAGCAGGCCTTATGAAAACGATGTATTATTTACAGCAACTTCATCTGAAGCGCAGATGGTAAGGAGGGGAGAGGGGACAGAGAAGGGGGAGGGGATAAGGAGGATGCTGCAGGCTTTACTCTCCTCTTGACTGTCTCTGTTTTACATGTGCATGCATGGGGTTTACAAATCCTTCTGGTGAGAGTCCTTTGACAGAGTCCAGGCATGATTTCTGAGTTCCACAATTAGGTCATGTTTAGCCTTTATAGTAGAAGACTGTGGAAGTAGAAGGTTTAACTTGTGTTAGGGCTGACATTTTCAGCTTCACAATCCCTCCAACAAATTGAGTGTTTTGAGTTGCCAAACAGAACCATGAAATAATTAATGTCTTTAAGATAACATTTTCCGACTTTATTAAGTTACCATAAGTAACAGGGTTTTTTCATTCTCCTCTCCTCTCCTCTCCTCTCCTCTCCTCTCCTCTCCTCTCCTCTCCTCTCCTCTCCTCTCCTCTCCTTCCCTTCCTTTCTCTCCTCTCCTCTCCTCTCCTCTCCTCTGACATAACATATTTGTTATGTCCTCTTTTCTCCTGATATCTTCCTCTTTATCTCAATGATTTATTTCTTTTCTGGTGTATAATTCATCTTTCTATCAAGCTATTTCTCTACTTCTGCTTCTTTTATCCATGTTCCACTGGCAGGTCTGCCAGCACTTTTCCAAACACAGGAGATAATATAGAAGGATGCCCTGAGGAGAGACTTAACATATAATTTCATATTTGCACACAGTCACACAGTCTGATGGCTATTCACCATTGCACATTGCACCAGCTCTAGTTTTTTACAAAAACAGCAAGGACATTTTGGAATAAATATAAAATTCCCAGAAAAGTTGTGTACATCATTGTGTTGTTTTCTTTTTCTGTCAAGTATACCTCTCCAGTTTTGAATTGTGTTAATATTCAAAAACATCCCTGAGACATGCAGTATGACTTGAGTCTTGTTTACAGTTTTCTCACCACTTTCTGAGCCAAAAAATCCCACATTCTTCATCAGCTGTTAAGTCAAGCATTATTTTTGCGCACAATCTATCACGTAGTGTGCTGTTATCGTCTGGTATTAGCAAAGAAAACAAAGGTACTGTACTACTTGGAGGCGTCCATATTGCTTGTCCAACTTGCAACTGGAACACAGTCAACTCGGGTGTGACGTCATTCCCAACTGAATTTATCTGCCATTGCTAAAGTTAAAGTTTGGTTTGCTTGAGCCTCAAAATATATTGTTCAAGGTTCTTTGATTGTGTTATGTCCAGAATGAGAGAGGATCAAATGCAGCAAATTCCACTGGTTAAAATTTAAAAAACACATTTGCCTTAAATCATGCAATCTAGCAGGTACATGAGCTCCAAGGTTACCACATCTCCCCCTCTGACATTACATGCAATCATTTTATGAACTTGTTTATACGGAAAATATCGATTGAGTTTAAGAATAGCTGTAACAAAATTATTTATATATATATATTTTATTTAAAGGGGATTTATTATGAGAAATCCCTTTTCACAGTGTTTTTGAACATATATTTGGGTAACTTGAGAGTCTACCAACCCACAAAATGTAAAATAAACCCATCCAGTCCTTTGTTTGTGGTCTGCACAAGAAAAATGCTCAGTTTCAAATCTGCTGTGCTATGTCACAGTGGGATTCTGGGACTCCACCCCCAGCCTAGAACAAAACATTTGTGCAGGTCCGCCATTTTTATTCTCACTACAGAGGAGTGATGTCTACTGGGAAAACTCAGTGGGGGGCTAATTGGATTTAAAGAGACACACACACCAAAACTGAGCGTAATGAGGGAGCTGGTTTATACAGGGTCACAAACCTCCTCTGGTGCTTGATTCATGTTATATTTTGACCACAGCACAGATGTTTCATTTAGACTGTTTGAAAAGGGGGACAAGGGGTTTAATATGATCTTTTTAAATAAATATCCACCTTCAAATAATCTGGTGGCTGAGTCTAAATTCTGATCACAACAAGCATAAAATAGAGTATGTCTTCAAAGGTTTTACTGTGTACTTGTTTTAGTTAACTGGTTAGTAGACTGACTGAAGCAGGTGAACATATTGTATAATTAGTGCCATAGTGAATTAGCATGGATGACTTTGTTCAATGAAAGAGACATCAATAATTGTGTATGCCTCTTCTCTTGCAGATGTATGTGACATGCACGGTGCAAGCTAAGGGCACTCGTCTGGCCAAACCAGTGCTGTCCCTCGGGCTCGTGTGTATGGCATTTCTCACCGGTCTGAACCGTGTGGCTGAATACCGCAACCACTGGTCGGACGTCATCGCCGGCTTCATCATCGGATCGGCCATTGCAACATTCCTGGTGAGACAGACGTCCTCAAAGCTTCAAAGTGTGTCTGGGTATAGGAGAGAGGTATAAAGGGATTTGGAGTGTTTGTGAGAGCGGTCATAATCTCTCTGTTTATCTGTTAAGATAGATCATCTGATGTGAGAGGGTTTATGGAAGAGAGGGTGTTGAAACAGACAAATCCTGTATAGTCTTACCTACTCACCATTGGCAATGTTGTTGTTTTGCCTTTTAATCGTTTGTGGGCATGTCTTGTGAAGGTGCAGTGAATATTAATAGCAAAGTCATTATTTAAAGGGAGTACAGGCTACCTGATTTTTTGCATGTGATTGTTGGGCTGCCATGGATAACCTTACAGTCTTAGTTTGCTCTCACTGCTTAAAGGGGCTATATGTAACTTTTTACATGTATAAATCGTTTTTTTATCGCCCATTAATAAGCGATCGGTTAACTGATGTGAAAAAGTAGATGTTCACTGTCTGTCTGTGTTGCCTGTATAAAAAGTTTCCCCGGGTCGTATTTTCCGCTAAAGCTCCAGGAAGTGACATTTTATGCGCGTTCTCAACGTCCTCCTCACTCCGCTCCGCTAACAGAGATCAACAGTACAAACTCATCACACACTCCCGGTCTTCACCTGCACAGCCAGAGGCCGCCTTCCACACACTTCTATCCACCCTAAGAGCTCTGGAAGGCGGACAAACTCATCACACACTCCTGCTCTCAGCCAGTGCCTGCTGAGACTGTCGTTTGTAGGTTGGAGAATGAATACAGACACACAGACTCCTTCACAGACTTTCACATGTGTATGACCACTTACCTCCTCTGTAAACATTATGCCGGTATATATCCAGTGTTTCACGGACGATGATGATGCTCGTTTGTGTACGTACGAGCACGTATGACGAGCACGTGAGGGAGAGCGAGCAACAGGTTACTGGTGTCAGTTCGCCTAACAGCCATGCGGTATTACTACAAACACAGTATTTTTGAAAGCTACATATATATATATAGTTACATATATAATAATGACACAAATGAATGACTTTTACACAGTCCTAAACCTGCACCAAAGGCAATGGAGAACTATTTTGTTCTGTATGGATCTGCACAGGGTGAAATGCCTCCCATTCAATGTTGCTTTGATGCCTCTTAATTTGCAAATTCATCTAGAAAAATCCAGTTCTGAGATAGAAAACTCGACTCTAGAAAGAAAAATGCAATTTAAGGGAAATTCTAAATGTCTTTAGAAAATGATGTTCACTGCAGCACAGCATGTCGATGAGATTATATGCACAGACCTTCCAGTGATCATGGAAATAACTTTGCATGACTTAAAACAGAAAGACTATTTCGACATCATAATCAGGTGTTAAATCTGTCCAGTGTTGTCTTCGGTTCCACTCCGACACAAAGCGTTGCATTTTTTTTTGCCAGATGTCAGCTGTTACTAAGGATGATGATGAAAGTCTAATTTTATTTGGAGAACTTGCTCTTGCTCACACGCTCCAGGGAGGAAACCACGTTACAAGAAGGGAAAACTAGGAACACATCTGTCGAGTCTGAGCTTCACAATTAACCAAAAAAAAAGATCGACTCCCCACCCCCCACGTCCAATCTCATCATCTATCGGAGGTGGGAAATGAATTCAGTCAGCGTGAGAGCTTAGCTTTGCGGCACAGAGAGTAGGCGTTGAAAGCTCTTCTCAGCAATCATCAGACGCATAACAAGGGACAACTGCATACAGCAGTAAATCTTTATGGGCGTGTTTGCACTGAAACATCATTAGCACAAGATGTTTTGTGCACTAGACCTTAAGACAGGGCCTATAGATGGTGCATGTGATGCACAAGTCTCGGTGCTATCAGCAGATACAGTCCATTCTTTGTGAGTTCCTCCTTTGCAGTGTGTTTTTTAATTTGTGTATTTCCCATTGAGCAGCTCGTTTTTGAGAAAGAACTCTCGAACCTGTGTAGCAAACAGCAGACAGGTTGAGTTAGAGACTAGCAGGCGAAAACTGTGAATCATTATGTAGTTAATGGATAGAGTTGAACAAGCTAGAAAGTAGTGTGTAAACTAACAGCAAGTCCACAGAGGCCTGATAGGAGATTATTTCAGTTGTCCGTTTTAACCTAGATGTAACCTGTCAGCTTGTGCATACATAAAGGCAATGAAAATGTATTTTCATATATGTACACTTGCACCTAGCGTACTGGTGTCTGATTGCAGAAAAACTCAGCTGACCTACCCTCAGTACTGTTGCTGAATGCAGTCTGTGACATGGAGCTCCTGGCTCATTGGCTCCTGTGTGGTTAGGTGTGACATTGGTCAAGTAGCCAGTAATTAGGATTACCTTGCTCTGTAAAACTTGTTGAAAGTATGATGCAAATTCAGTGTTGTGTTCACATATTCTGTATCTGCTTCCCCCCACTTGTCCAAAACATTACAGCTTTTGCAGGTTAATCAGATGGAATCAAGAAAAAAACATGTGTCCCTTATCTGAAAAGGCTTTCCACACCTTCACACTGACATACGCACACTTAGAGGGAACACACAGACACATATTTGTGCATCTATAGATATATTAATCCAATCAACACTAAAGCTGTACACCATTCTATGTGAGTCAGCGTGGAAGTTGAAGTGAGACAGTGAGAGTGCAAAAAAAGCATAGGAAAGACACAAGCTATGTTAACATATTCACAAATGATTGGAATAAAAATGATAAATGGACTTGAGCTTGTATAGTGAATAAAAAGGCTTCCATGTAAAAACCTCAATCTGTAGAGAGTGATCTGATTGCCTGATATTAGGAAGAAATTTCATTTTGAATGAGATGGGTGATCTATGCCGTTCTTTTTTCTAATCAGTATCCATGCAAACACTTGTTCTCATCGTTTCATCCTGGTTGGGGCAACTCTATATTAACTGGTCATGCCTGCCTCTCTTTTTAACTGCGCATGTCTGTAAGCCCTCCCTGCCTCCCCCTGTTTATAATTTCAGAAGTACGTACTACTGTAATTGCAGCTCAATTGGGAGAGAAGAAGAAAAGAGTATTGTTGGCAGCACACGATGTAGGTCAATTTAGGAAAAAAAATCAAACAATATACAGAATCCAAAGTCACAGATGCGAGAGAGGAGGAGTATTAAATCCCTGGTGCACAGTGAGGGGCGAGCTGAGGAGCAACATCTGGAGGCGTGGAGAGAGACTGCCATGTTTGTACACAACACAGGCAGCAGAGTCAATTTGCACAATGACTATGGTGGGCTTACCAAAAACCAGACCAGAAATAACTGAGGAATGAACACACAGTAGGGCTGTGTGGGTTCTGTTAGAACTGGATCTAAAACTGTATTGACCAGCACCAATTGACAGGAACGTGCACTTTACGTACCAAAGAACACAGATCAACTTCTCAACCAAGCGCAGTTTTTATTTATGAGGAGCGGCTTCTTTTTTTTTGGTTGAATGTAGAAGCTGTAAGCAGACCAGCAAGACAACTCTACACATGTTGAAATGGTTTCATTCTGATTAAATGCTTGATGGATCACTTCATAATCCCTTTATTCAGCGTCCATGTAAATAGTGACGTGGGAATCCCCAACCAGTGATTTTAAGTGGGTTGAAGATACATTGCACGTGTAAACACAGCTCTTGTCTAACCTACAAAGATTGGACCACTTGCCTTTCATATCAAAATTATGTAACACTTTAAGTTAAGGTCACAATATTTCCCATTATTAGCTGCTTATTAGCATGCAAATTAGTTGCATACTGGCTGCTTATTTGACATCATTAGACTTCATTAGTATTGTATTCTACATTACCATAGTCTATAGCTAATAAGCCATTAACTAAGAGTTTGACCTAATTACCTTTCAATATAGACTGATATGAGATTTTAGGGGTCGATACAGATATAGGGGAGAAAGAAAAATCTGATACCGATATATCAGCCGATATCTTTTTCATTAGATCTATATTTGATGTGTAGCAATCGTTATAGTTATAGATATAGATTTATTGCGTTGATACCTCAAATGCAGTTCTCAAACACTTGTGGAAATGATATATATATGAAGACAAAATGGTCACTCAACTGCAAAGCAATTGTGCATGTACTTGCCTCACAGCTCAACACTCTGGAGGGTGATAATGCTTGTTGTAATCCATATAGCGCCCTCTGCTGGTGAGAGGGAACTGCTAGTTTAATACAATGACACTTAAATGAAATGCTATTTGACCGGTGAATAAATCTAGTACTATCGGCACATATCTGCGATAAACTAAGCGTGGTCACACTTAACTATGGTCCTATAGAGCAGGGGTTCACAACTGGTCTAGCCTATGGACCAACCACCGACTCCTAAATGAAAATCGTGACCAAAATTTCTGATATTTCTTTCAACCGATCAGATTTATTGAATGAAAAATATAGACTATAAAGGTGTAAAGGAACAAAGAGAAGGATCAAAACCAACATCTTTAAAGAGTCCTTGATAGACATTTTGACTCTTTTTTTTCCCCAGTCACATGTTCATGACCGACTGAAAACAGCTCTGCAACCCACTTTTGGGTCCCGCCCCACCAGTTGAGAACCACTGATATAGAGTGTGGTGCTAATAAATGCTTACAAAATGACTAATAAGCAGCCAATATGCTACTAATTAGCATAAGCAACTAGTTAATGGTCAATATTGTGACCTGAATTGAAAGTGTTACCTAAAATGACTACTAACAATGAGATTCTTTACAACCCTCTCATGATCCAGGTCAGATAAGCTTAAGGGTAGTTATCGCAAATAATCTTGATTTCCACAATTCTGTCCTTTCGTTAATTCTAATTGTTGTGTAAAATGTCTCCATATTGGAAAGATTTTTAAAAAGATCATGTAACATAGTGTGTTACAAATATCGCAGCAGAAGGAATTCAACCAAACCTCCTTTGAGACTCCTCGTTATGCACTTGGCTGAGGAAGTAAAACAAAAGAATAGAAATCTGAAAGGCTGTTTTTTTTTTAAAGTTTGTTAGTAAGCTATATGACCCTCAAAGTTCCCAGGTTGCACTGTCCTGTAAGGACAACTGCAGAACGCTGCCCTATAGCCATGAGAGTTTCTGTGTATCTCCTCTCTGCTCAGCCTACTTGAAATAGCTTCTGTCGTTTGTAACCTCAAAGCCACAATTTGCTCCTTATTAGAGGAACTAATGCAACCCCCCCATCCATCATTGATACAGAGGAACCTCCCAGAGAGAGTCAGTACACACATATGTGACCTACATACTTGGGTTACTCTCTTAATCCAACCAACCACTCAGGAATCTGTCAGTCCTTGAAATTCCATTAAACACAGATTTCTTTCCTCTCCTGGAAGACTTCTGCATGTTTGTGTTGTGTGTGTGTGTGTGTGTGTGTGTGTGTGTGTCTTTGACTGTAGTTCCATTGATGTGTGTTTCACATTTTCTGTATGTGGTTGTGCATCCCATAGGTGGTGTGTGTGGTCCATAACTTCAAAGGCAAGTTACTGCTGAGCGACGATTCACCCATGGAGCCGCAACCCACTATAGGAATGCTGAATATGGGCCGAATGGAGAGTCCCCTGGAGAAGTATATCGCTTCACAGGTGAGTGCATCATTCACAATAAGACACCTGACCTGTTCTAAATAGAGTTGGACCATGGATTCATGCTTGGAAAACTGTATGTCTGCATGAAGAACTGCAAACTAATACAGCGCACAAGCTTTAGAACAACTTGGGGGAGTTTGGACTCTCATAAGGACAATTATGGTCTGAAGCCTTTCGTAATTGAAGCCTTATTAGATAAATATTCAGTTGTACAATCTGACAATCTTCATGCAAAAACATACATGTATACATAATGTTATTTTATACTTACAGATATAATAATTTCATACTTATTATAGTAGCCTCACATATCTTAAACGCTTCTGTGATGATCTTCTAGAATGTTTCTTCTCTAGACTAGGTTTAGGATGTAAAATTCATGTGCTAGATCTTACGTTGTTCTGAACTGAATGGAATTTGAAAGGTGTTTCGATAATAAAAGACACACACATCCCTAAGTGGGTGCTGGATCCAAAAAAAAAAATGGCTTGAAAGAAACAAAAACAAACAAATCTGCACACCAAAGAGCCTTCCGTAAAAAGGATGTATGAACAAGTGATGTGAACTTGCTCTTCCTCAGAAAAGTCAAGTCAAAGATGCGATCCAAAGGTCAGCCACTTTAGACAGCAGGAATTTATGCAAACACATGTTTGTGCAAGTGAAACATTTTTTAAACTTCAATGAAAAATGTGAGCATATTTCAGAGCTTTATTATTCTGCAAGGGAAACGGGGCAGGGAGACTGGAAGGAAATAACTCAAATGTTTACTTGTGTTTAAAATGTTTTCCTGGTGGCCAGTACCACAGCTCCTGTGGCAACAAATTGGCATAGACAAAAATCTTAATGAGAGTCAGTTATTTGAGTAACTCTGATAAATTAGGCCAATAAACCAAACAGAAAAAAACCTGACGTGAACATGATGTTACACTGATTTATGGCTGATTGGAAAAAAACTGACATTGCAATATTTTTTCATCCTGCATTATAGATAGTGATTATTTTTATGCACATCAATTCAAATTGCATTCAAAGAATCATACTTTTTATTATTTAATTCATTTTGGTATTTCATATATAAACCTCCTACTTTCATCCCACTCTGGGTCAAGCCCTCTGAAGTAGAGACAACATGTGGAGAGAGAACAGGAGAAGTGACCGATCCATAATAAACTTGACAAACATTGGCTTATAATTGTGTTACTTATACACGTTGTTGGGAACGCTCAAGTTACTAACTCAGTTTTTGATAGTAGTAACTAGGAACTTTTTTCAGTAACGTGCCAAACACTGCTTATATGTTATCAACAATGTTGAGAGTAATGTTCAAAGTAATGTTTGGTTTGCATAAACAGACCAGTGATAGTAAATTCTGATTAAATGAAAGTTCACTGTCTTTGGCTGCCTGTGACTCACTTCACTGTGTGCGCTGAACGTATAACTTGTGACACGCGTAAAAGAGTGTCTGCATGTCTCGATATGGCTGCGATATTTACCACAGGGGATACTCAGAGTCCGCATACACAACAGTCAGTTCTGTGAGCACTGATTGTGAAAAGAAACCTGGCAGTTTCTGTTTGCACCAAATAACAGAAAAGTTGCAGCATGGCGTACCTCAGGTCACATGATTGGCATTGCATATCACGCGGTATGACTATAAAATTAGTTCAATAGAAACAATTTTTTTGTGCCTTTATGGAGAGATAGGACAGTGGATAGAGTCGGAAGCCAGGGAGAGAGAGTGGGGAGCGACATGCAGAAGGGAGGCCACAGGCGGGATGTGAGCCCGGGCCGCCCGCTGGAGACAACAGCCTCAATGCATGGGGCGCGCGCCCTAACCATTGCGCCACCAGCGCGCACCAATAGAAACAATATATCGTTCAATCCTACACTGATTAACGAAAAACAAACTTTTGTATTGTAACAGATGTTACTCTAAATTATAGATGATGTCATCTAGTTTTCATCTGAGCTAGATGTAAATCTTTAACTTCATCAACATTGGTCCAAGCCAACAGTGAGATATAAGTAACAAAGGATGTCCTAAACCCAATCTTTAACATCAAAGCACTGACCTTAAGTAGAAAAAAAACACAAAAAAAACCTTAAAGCATGTTTATCTGAA